TTATGACTAGGGCTATAATTTCATAGGATTTAATGTTGCTAAATGTTTTTTGCTCTGTCAAGGCAATCTAGGCTTCAAGCACTTTACTGAGTAGATAAGTTAGCATTCAGGCCTTGTTTCTTTTTTCAGTATTGTCCTTTTTGCTTGAGACTTTATCTGGAAAAGAGGTTTTGGCAAGTTGTCCATCAGTGGTCTTATATATGTGTGTGTGTGTGTGTGTGTGTTAGCATGAAGTCAAAATTCATTATGACTGAAGGTTTGAGCCACCTAGTTTTGCTTAAATTGCTTATCATGAGTCTTTGCCCAGAAACTGTAACTAAAGTAAGCTCCACATAGCTGTAGTACAAACAACAGGTGGGCTCTGAACAGGTTTCTATGAAAGGGATTGACCGGCTGCCCTAGCAGAGATATATGCCTGGAAAACAAGAGTGTGTATATATGACTGTATTCTCTATTCATGTTAGTGGCCAATGTTCAAGTTGGGGCAAAAGGATTTCAGATTGCAGTTATGGCTTGTTCATTTGAAAGGTTTGAAAGGCTCTTTCATCATCATCATCATCATTCAAACTCTCATTTTACCTCCCACCTACCATTTGGCCTTCTACCAGATTAAGCTAACATACATACACACTGCACACAAATTCACACATATACATATATGTGAACATACTTATTGTACAGATATACTCATTACAGTTATATGGATATAAACATTATATACGTAATGTACAGTGCTGTTCAATAAAAGTGACCCACTTGATTTTTTTTTTTTTTTTTACTTAAAAATTTTTTCACCTATTGTTTTTAGGGTCAAACTAATTTTTAATCTTACTAATATAAAGACCCCTTCCCGACCATCTAGTAAAAAAGTTTACTCACCTTAAGGTATTCTATTGATAATTATAATTTTGGATATAAATGAGATTTAGGGAAAAACTCTGTGCAAAAAAAAGTGACTCACTTATTTGCTGCAACTAGTAATCAATAGAAACATAACCGAACAGCTTTAAATAAAGAATAATAATCCTTTACTTTGAATAACCTTTTCAACCCTTTTTGATATTGACTTGATTAGGTTATGGCAAATCTCATCTCCAAGCATTGAATTCCATTCAGATATGAAATTCACAATCAAATCCTCTTTGTTGCTCAACTGCTTTCTTGAGAGCCTGTACTTTATAATGCTCCATAAGTTTTCTATGGGGTTGTGGTCAGGAGATTGGGGCTGCCATGTCATAACACTTACCTACTTCTCATCAAAGTATTCGTTCATCAATTTTGATTTGTGACAGGGAGCATTATCTTGCATAAAAATGAGCTTGGTGGGGTCGATTTGCACCCTTTCAGCAGAAGGGAGTAGACAAGACTCTAAAATTCTCTTGTACTGCTCGCTCCTGAGGGTCTTTTCAATAGGTTTTAAGAAACCAGTTCCATAAAAAGAAAAGCATCACCCAGAACATTATACTGAACGGATGCTTGACAGTACTTACTGCTAAATTCAAAGAGCTTTCAAAGCTTCTTCTTCGGATTTTAGATTGTTTATTCTTATTTAGCTGAACTTTTGTTTCATCGGAGAAGAGAACATTCTTCCATTTTAACCCCAAAAACAATAGACAAAAAATAAATTTTAGTAAAAACAAATCAGGTGAGTCACTTTTATCTAACAGCACTGTATATAATGTTTCTATATGTACGGTTGTCATAGCCAGAGATTATAGTGGGGACAAATCCCACTGCCTATAGAATGCTTCTGGGAGCATGTGTCTCAAATAGCCTCTGACCATTATGTTCAATTCCAAGCTGGAAAACTGGTACCTCAAGACCAGTTGCTTCTGGTAGATGGAGCTCAACAGCCGAGGAAGGTAGTCTATCTAGGAGAAGGAAAACGCTGATTTTAAACCTCTGCTGCCTTGTGGTTATATCCAAACACAGACAAGGCCATGAAAATAAATCCATACAGAAAACCCAGAATGGAACCCTGCATGTGGTTGGCTGTCAACACTGGTGACTTTATGGGAAATCCTGCAGTCAAGCTGTCCCTCAATGTAATGACCTGTATTCCTTTGGATCTTGCTGGTACAGCCAAGATGGGGTCCCATATAGTCTGGGCAGTGCACAGCCTCTATATACCTGCACCCTGGAGAGATCATTCCAGTTTTATCCCCAAAGGACTCAATTCTGAACAAACAGGGTGCTACCTTTATTGCTTGAGATAAACAGATGCCTAATACGCATTTTAGGTAGACATATGTAGTAATCACTCATAAATGCACTCATATATATATATATATTATACATGCATCACATATGTTAAAATATAGTTTTAAGGTATGCTATATTTGTCAGTTGAAGTGCTTAACATCAGGGACAGAGAATGTAAATATAAATGTGAACATGGAGGTCAACACCCAATGAGAGCAGTCTGTTTCAGACTAAATGCAATCATCAGGCCTTAGCTGGGTGTTGACTTCAATGTCCACTTACTTTATATATAGATATATAATGTATGTATATATGTATGTATGTGTGAATAAAGACAAATGGAAAACTTATTTTAGTCAAAGCATTTCACCCTCTGATGGACTTTATCAAGGCAAATGTGCCTTGGAGTCCAGCAGAGGATGAAACCCATCAGTTAAGATTAGTTTTCATTTTCTCTTTATTCATAGTCCTTTTACAGATATATTGTAGTTATAACTGAAAAATATATATATATATATATATATATATATATATATATATATATATATATATATATACAACACACACAACAATAATATATCTCTCTCTTTCACACACCCACACAGAAAAATGCATTAAACAAACATACAGAGTATACTGTCAGGTGTAGAAAAAAAAAGTTAATTAGTCACCTATCAGAGTATATGTCTATCCATCATTTCCTACGTGATAAAAACAATATTTACACTCGTATTCCCCCACCCCAATGCCAGAGGCAATGTTTACTTTCGCTTATTTCACTGACAAAGTAAACAGGCAGTTATTGTTTTTCGGTCCTTTTTTGTTTTAATACATCAACCAATTGCATTAACTTTAACCTTTCAGCAAAACTGTGGATCTATCATTTTTACTTCGTCTATTCAATATTACTCAAAGAAAAAAGCTGCAACCATTTCTTGCGTGCATGAAATTCATAAAAGCCACTAAAAGAGAGGGAAATATCCAAAGAAAATATTCACTTGAAATGTTGTTTTCCATGAAGAGAGAAAGAAACAAGCTAATTGTTTTATGTAATCCTCATAATACATAATTTCTGTCTCCTGTCATGGTTTACAATAAGAGTAACAGCTTTCTGCTGATAGTACCTTCATTCTCTTCTCTGTCAACCATCACAGTATGCCTATGACAATAGATTTTGTCAAAATATGTAGTAGCAGGAGAGTGCACAGGGATAAGTAGATCCATGCCTTTTCAAATGACATGAAGGAAAAATAAATATAAACATCATCAGGCAAAATTTCAACTTGTTTAAAATGAGTAGATTTTTCTTGTTGATAATTGTTCAGGCACCTAACACCTGATCTATAATAATAATAATAATAATAATAATAATTCTACTCCTCCTCATGCTGCAGATAACACACTAACATGCATCTAGTCATATGCAACATACCAGTTTGATACTGCTGGAGTTATCCCCCTGATCACTGCAGCCACATCAGTTGCGGGTCTGCTGGGCCACACTCCTGCTTCTCTGGTTTGACACTCCTGTTAGTTTCATCAGCCTACTCAACCCATGCTGGCTGAGGGTAATTTGGAAGAGAGTGCTATACTCAGTAGATCCCAAGAGTATGCTTTCCTCCTCTATATATTTAGTTTACTCATGCTAGATATCAAATTAGAATATATACCCTTATGACGTTTTTTATATCAGATCTTCATAGACTGCCTTTACTTAACTAAGGAGCTCCAGTTACTCCATATATAATCTTCCATAATATTTTTTTCAGAACACTACAATCTTAGCCATTTCACTTCAATTGCTATATATCCTCCATATCCTCATAACCTTTATTTCCTCCTCATATCACACATCTTAATTACTAACCCTCTTAAGTGGTTCACAAGCCTTCTCTTGGGTGAACATTAGTATACAAAACGTAGGTAAGAAAAGATAAAGAAGTAGTGGGTGATAATTCTTCTTCTATATGCCATATCTCTTCAGGATGTAGGTGATCGTAGCTCTCCACAGTTTTCTTTGTCCTTCATAGCTCTTAAGAAATTATCTTTTTATTATTTCTCCTAAAATTTTATTCTGTCATCCATTCATTCAAGCTAAATAGGTTATGCATTCTTTTCCTTTGTCCCCACTTGCCTTTAATCTGTCCTGTCAGTATCAGATTTTCCAAGCCTTCTTTCCTCATTATATGAAATTTTCTACAGAGAAATTGAAATTGGGAACCAAGTTCAAATTTCAGTGGAGGTTACTTATATTTAACAATGGTTGACAGAGAAAGGGAGGGATGAGAGAGAGAGAGAGAGAGTACTTGAAAAACAACTCCCCCATAACTATCTTCCCTGTCCTGGCACTAATAAGATGCTATTCCTATATCAATCAAGAAGATAAAGGAATTTGTTCTGACAGTAGCTGAAATCCTGGATTGTGGGTAACAAAGATATTTTTTTACTAACTGATCGCACAATACATGGCCCAAGAGTCACTCAAACTAGAGCATTACTGAATGAAGTTGTATGAACACATTGATTCATTTTCTATGGTGTATCAAGCCTTTATAAGTTTTTTAAAAGCCCATATATTTTTAGCTTGGTTTGGTTTTTATTTTACAGCATATCAACCTCATTAGGCTATTTAATGCCGACAAAATTTTCATTGTTGGTAATATTTTTTTCAAAAATCTATTTCTGGTAATATTTTTTTCTACAACAAATCTATTTCTGGTAAAAATTGTTTTTCTTCAATAATCTATTTCTAGCAATAATTATCTTTCAAATATGTATCGCTGCTAATATTTTTTAGCTGGAATTTCCAAGCAGTCACCCATCTAGGTACTGACCAGGCTCAACGTTGCTTAACTTCAGTGATCATATGGGAACTGGTGTTTCAATGTGGCCATAAGCCTGTATGAACGTAAGAGGAAGACGTAAGAAGTGTAAATTGTGGGGATATACCAGAAAGACAACAGTTGACCCTAAACTTGAAGTGGTTAAGAGTGTGGTGATTGAGGAAGCATCCACTTGGGAGCCTAATTCCACAAAGTTGCAGTTCTTGGGAAGAAGCTGTCTTTAATGAAATATCAAGGAGAATGTTTCATTTTAGTGTATTTGGCATGGCAAGTCTTGTGAAGGTGTCAACTAGTAGAACTAATGAATATAGCTTGTCTGAACATTCGCCATGGTAGTACCAATAGAGTAGTGAGAGGTTTGCAACATTTTTATCTGTAGTAAAGGAGTTATACATGGAAAATAATTCATTGCCCACAATTGATTGATTCATTTTCTACAGTTTATTAACCTTTTGCAGATAACTAAGCAACAAACAGAATTATAATACAAGTTGTAAAAGAAATACCTCCTGCATAATACATTGCCACTGATGTCTTAACATTATATAGAAGGTATTTCTGTTATAGCCAGATTAATTTTTCTTTTTAATTTCTAAGATGAAACAATAGTAATTAGTATTCTTTGACTAGCTTTTTTTTCATCTGATTTTGGCTAATTTTTCTCACTTTCTGGTTTGTATTAATGTGGATCAAAAACTAAAGAATAAGCCTCTAGTGAAATTTTAATGGGCATCTCTTTTACTCAAGAGGACAGTCTTAAAATGACAGCTGCTTTAATAATTAGGCCATGGTGATCACTGTTTGCAGTCATTCAACTTGAGTAAAATAACTATTCATTACTTTCTTTAACTGCATATGCATCATCATTTTTACTTTATTTAAAAAGCACTCGAAAAGGAAAGTTATTTGAAATTATCTTAAAGGTGCAGTCCAAAAGTTTATGCAGCTTTAGGTATGAACTGCTTTTTGTTAAAGAATAAAAGAATTGATATGCGTTTTGATTTTTCCCCCCCTTGGGAGAGAGTTTTCAAGTGCAATGTGAAACATTTGGTAAAGTGAAAAATGAGCAGATGAAGCTATTTGTTAAAATTTTTTGAACTTTCAGGCAGCATTTTGTGTGTATGTCATATATAATATAAGGACATAATTGAAATGCTTGTTGAATGCTCCTGTCTCAGAGTTTCAAGTCATAATATGCAAGATATAGTATTTTTCATATTGTTTTTGAAATGTATGAAATTTAGAGTCATTCATTCATTTTCTATGGCTTATCAACCCTTTGTAGGGTTATTTAAAGCCAGAAAATATTTTTAGATTGAAATAATTTTTTTAGAGATAATAATGGATTATTGATATAAGACTTACTAATTAACCCATAGCAGAGGTAAGAAGAGGTTGATTCCTTTCCGACGGGTATTTGCATGTAAGTAAATATGACAAATCCATTGGGAATTGGAACTTGGCTCTGAGAATAACAATTCCAAGCCATTATTTATTATATGATCTACACATCCAAGCTTACAGCACCTGGTATTCCCAAGCAGTCACCCATCTAGGTACTGACCAGGTTCGATGTTGTTTAACTTCAGTGATCATACGGGAACTTGACTCTCCGATTAACAATTCCGAGCCATTATCCATTATCCACCACCCACACAACCAAGCTTACAGCACCTAGTATTCCCAAGTGGTCACCCATTTAGGTACTGACCAGGCTCAACTTTGCTTAACTTCAGTGATCATATGAAAACTCGATTCTATAATTAACAATTCTGAGCCATTATCTATTACACCACCCTCACATCCAAGCTTACAGCACCTGACATTCCCAAGCGGTCACCCATCTAGTTATTGACCAAGTTCAACGTTGTTTAACTTCAGTCATCATACGGAACTCAACTCTCCGATAACCAATTCCAAGCCATTATCCATTACACCACCTGCACATCCAAGCTTACAGCACCTGGAATTCCCAAGCAGTCACCCATCTAGGTACTGAGCAGGCTCAATGTTGCTTAACTTTGGTGATCATATAGGAACCAGTTTTTCAACATCTTGTGGCCATAAGCCTTACAAATGATTTTAAACTCTGTCAAGTGTAGAAATCTTCAGCCCAGATATGGCAGTGGTACACCATTTTTGGTCCGAAGCAAAGAGCAACAATACATTTATGCTCTTATTTTGTTTTTCTTCCTCTTCTTCAAAATTGCTGGACAATTACAGGTCTTCAAAATATCATGACCCTCATTTGTGTCATGCCTCCAAGGCTGATACTATTTTCAAAGAAAAACAACAATATATTGTTGAAAAGCTAGTCTTGAAAAGACTTTCCATTTCTTTCAGATGAATTTGAAATGCAAGGCTGATGAGGAAAAAGTCAGTCAGAGGTAACAGGAAAAGACTTTAGCAATGATGATGATAATGATGATTTACTTTGAGTGATGTTTTTATTACTTTGCAAGAAAGAATTGCTTAGTTGGTGAAAAGAAAAACAGTATCTCAACCTCAGCATGAATAAATAAAAACATTAGTTGATGAAAAAGATTAAGTTTTCAACACTGACATAGGTTACCTATTCATTCTGATTGTGTTTCACACTGTAAAACAAACATGCTCAGTATGTCCATATAAAGTGTGTTCCAAGAATTTGTAGAACTGAAGATGGAAATTAAGAAAAAAAAAGAAAAGAAAGATTTCCCAGAAAGAAACAATTCAGAGTTTTATAGAGGCTCTGGTCCATGTAAAATTAGGAGAGATTTCTTTTAAGTATAGGAGGATATATGTCCATTTGTTTACGTTCATGTATTTGTCAATCTATGCATACACATTCTTTTGGCAATACCCACACACACACACACACAAATTTTTATCTTCTTGGGTGTTCTGACAGTTGTACAAAGTGACTTTAAACTGAACTTAATTCTCTGGCTGGTTATGTTATTCAGTTGGATTAAATTTAAAGAAAAGGAGATTTAAAAAAAAATAAAAAAAAAAAATAAAATAGACTTTGATTACTAATTAAAGAACTAAAAAAAAAAGGAATGAAGGGAAAGGGGTAGGGGAGAGAGAGGGAAGGGGGTAGGAGAGAGAGAGGAAAGGGGGGGAGGGAGAGAGAGGAAGGGGGTAGGGAGAGAGAGGAAAAGGGGGTAGAGAGAGAGGGAAAGGGGGAGTAGGGGGATAAAGAGGTAAAGGGGGAGGGAAAATGAAAAAGAGGATGGAGAGGGGGACAAAGAGGGGAAGAGAGAAAGAGAGAGAGAAAAGGGGAAGAAGATGATAAAGAGAAAAAGGGGTAGGGGAGAGAGAGAGAGGAGACGTGGGGGGAGAGAGAGAGGAAAGGGGTGAGGAGAGAGAGAGGAGGGGGGTAGGGGAGAGAGAGAGGAAAGGGGGGGGAGAGAGAGAGAGGAGGGGGGGGGAGAGAGAGAGAGGAAAGGGGGTAGGAGAGAGAGAGAGGAAAGGGGGTAGGAGAGAGAGAGAGAGGAAAGGGGTAGGGAGAGAGAGAGGAAAGGGGTGGGAGAGAGAGAGGAAAGGGGTAGGAGAGAGAGAGGAAAGGGGAGAGGGAGAGAGGAAAGGGGAGAGAGAGAGGAGGGGGAGGGAGGGAGTAGGGGATAAAGAGGTAAAGGGGAGGAAAAATGAAAAAGAGGATGGAGAGGGGGACAAAAAGAGGGGAAGAGAGAGAAAAGAGAGAGAGAAGGTGGAAAAAGGGGAAAAGAAGGAATAGAGAAGGAAAAGGAAAAAGACGAGAAAGAGGGGAAAAGAGGATGAAGACAGGGAAAAAAGGGAGAAAAGACAAGATCTTTACAGTTTATTTTGTTAATTTTTATTGAAGTATTCTGTTTGGTCAACATTTTGGTCAGAGAATTAAAAAAAAAAAAAAAAAAAAAAAAAACAGCAGCAACAAAATCCTAGTTTGTGAAATACTTGTGAAACTAATTCTGATTTCACATGCAGAAGTTGAAATGACTGACCAATATTCTTCAAATGACAACAATGTGCACAAATTGAAATGAGGAGAGAAGAATTTCTCAAAGAAAATCAAACAATAGTACCCTAACTGCTTTTCTGTGTTTCCGTTCTCCTAAGGATTGTCCTCTAAAATGTCTTCTAAAGAAACTGAAATCAAGGTTAATACAAGGTGGGGCAAAGATACGAATCAGAAAATGGATGTTAAAGCCATTCAGAAACTTACATAGATTGGCATGAGATTAAGAATGGAGATTAAGCACCCTTGTGAAAGATTAACTTTTTTTTCAGTTTTAAGAATGAGATTAATATCACCCGAGCCAATCTCAAGTCACCAACTCATATAAAATTTCTTTATATTTCAACTGATAGATGAATATTACATCCCAATTGATCTTAGCTTATCAATGGAAAAACATTAGGTTATCTGGTCTGATGGAGATCTTGATAAAAAAAATAAATGTTCCGCATCATGTTCAACAAATACTTGAAAATAAGATATAAAAGAGTCTTCGTTGATTCTAAGTTTAATTAGTTGCCATATTGAGTCAGATAGTAGAGACAGAGTTGAGGAGGTTGGAACTTTTATGTCTCCAGAAAGTCTGGCAAGATCATTAATCTCGAAGACACAAAGTACCAAATGAGGCTTACTAAGAACAGATCATTATTTAAAAAGTTGAACATCTGCCCTTTCAGATAGTAGAAAGTGTGTGTATACGTGTGGGTGGGGAGGCATTAAAACTCAAATAAGGAAAGACATGTTTTATCAGAATATGGTCAATTTTAAAGAAACAGAACAATGTAAAACCTAACACACACATGCACACATATGATTTGTGTATTTAGGCAAGATATTTTCATTCAAATGGGTTTGGTTAAATAATTTAAACATTCTATGTCTGTTCATTTTTTTTTTAATCCTTTCAAGTCTATGAATCAGTTTTAATAATGACTTTCCCAATTACATTGTTGATGAACAAATTAGACAAGCTATTAGGAATATAAACATAAATAAAAATTAATGCATCACCAAATAACTGTAAACATATCAAATTACTATACCATAATCAAATGCATTCTAACTATAAGCAGAAGGAAAAAATTCTGAAAAGACTCATAAACACTAATATATCCCCGACTGATACAATTAAAAAGACAGATTGGTTGTCTATTAAATTTAATACAATCTAGTTGTCAAAAACAATTCTTCTCTGTCAACTAGCATCTTACAAAAGGCCAGTATCTGTCTATATTTCTGAGATGAGATTATGTACACTATTTACATTATTCGAACTATTGTCCTCATCTCATGTCGCCATATTTATTACAACGTTTCGGGCATTGTACACTCCAGCCTTCTTCAAGTGGTAGGAATATCGAACTGAACCCTTTATTTTGCTCACTGGGGTAGACTGTTCTAGTTCCACATGCCATGTTTAATGGATATCAGTTATCTCCTGTTAATTTTCCTCTGCAAGTTCTCCACTGCCTTAACTGGGTATTGAACTCACTCTCTTTGGGTCCTCAATAATAATATAATTGTAATAAATATGGCAACAAATATGAGAACAATAGTCAAGGACACATGGCACAGTGGATAAAGGTGTTGGTTAGATCCAGTGACAGGACCCAAAGAATTGTGAGTTCAATACCTGGTTAAGGCAGTGGAGAACTCGAAGAGGGGAATTAACAGGAGATAACTGACAATTGACATTTATTAAACATGGCTTGTGGAACTAGAACAGTCTACCCCACCAAAATAAAGGATTCAGTTTGACATTCTAATCACCAGAAGATAGCTGGAGTGTACAATGGCTGAAACATTGTAATAAATATGGCAACAAAGATGAGAACAATGGTCTGAATAATGTAAATAGTGAAAATGCTTTTCACAAAAAACTTAATGATTTCACTATAATTACGTAAAAATAATGTAATGATAATCCGCAGACAGTTTATGTTACCTTATCTCATTGCATGGTTATAAACTATAAACCTAAATTGAGCTTGAAATATTGTATCATTGGCTAATTTTTTTTGTAAGATACTTAGAAAGGATATAATCAATAATTTGCAGTGAAAAAAGCAATTTTTGAATTTTTGTTGAATATAGCTCTCCTCTGCAGAATATGTCATATTTTAAATGTGAAAAAAAATTAGTTATCTTTTTAAGTTTTTATCAATAATACACAGAAAAGGGCTAAAGTAATATATATGCTTACACATTGTGTAAGAATACAATTTATGACTAATCATTTAATATTGACTTTTGTACCATGCAAATAAACATTAGAGCAAATCAACAGTCCCCGATAAATTTATATAAATCCCAATTTACCAGGAGTTTTCATAGAAATAAATACAATATGTGAGTCACTAATAAAGAAAGATAAATGACAGCAAGATTTCAACAGCAGCAGCAGCCAGACATGACAGGCAGCAACACTAATCAGCAGGTAGGTTAGGTTTAAGGCTCCACGTTCTCCACAGGGAATTGTCCCCTAGGACAGTGGATTAGCCTAGCGGATTAAAGTGTTGATTCATTAATTTGGTGACATAGTAATTATGAGTTTAATCCCTGGGCTGGGAAATGTATACTTCAATTCAGTGGAAACAGGGCAAGCAAAAACCAAGCAGTACAAAAATAAGAACGAGATATCTCTAGACATAGGAAAAGAAAAGTGAAAAAAGAAAAGTCTACTCCCATAGATTAAACAAAGGGTACAGTTCAGAACACCTAGATTAATATACACCAGATGAAGGAACCATGGCTGAAACATTGTGATAGCAACAACAAAGATGAGGACAATAGTCTGAATATAAATTGTGTAAATAATGATAACTCCTCATCCCAGAAATTCAGACAGAAGGCGATCAGGTGATAATAACAACAAAGATGAGGACAATAGTCTGAATATAAATAGTGTAAATAATGATAACTCCTCATCCCAGAAATTCAGACAGAAAGCGATCAGGTGATAATAACAACAAAGATGAGGACAATAGTCCGAATATAAATAGTGTAAATAATGATAACTCCTCATCCCAGAAATTCAGACAGAAGGCGATCAGGTGATAATAACAACAAAGATGAGGACAACA